ATACGGCCAGCAGTGAAGGACCACGTCTCAGATCCGTAAGTCATCACTGGCAACACGCACTGGTTGTACAATCTAGTTTTTAGAGATTGAGGTATACCTGACGAAAAGATATGTCGTAATTTCCCGAACGCTGCCCAGCCGAGTTGAATCCGTCGATTGACCTCTCGGTCGAAGTTGGACTTACCTAGTCGGACTATTTGTCCCAGGTAAACGTACTCGTCAACAACTTCGAGCATAGTGCTCCCAACAACTACCGGCATAGGTGTGACATGGACATTAAACATGATCTTTGTTTTGTCCATGTTCATCTTAAGACCTATCCGTTGGGAGGCACTATTGAGGTCATTGAGCATAATGCTTAAGTCCTCCAGCAATTCTGCCATAATGACTATATCGTCGGCAAATCGAAGGTGAGTGATGTACTCGCCATTGATGTTAATACCGTATCCTTTCCAGTCCAGTAGCTTGAAAACGTATTCCAACGCAGCGGTGAAGAGTTTCGGGGATATAACATCACCCTGTCTTACACCTCTCTGCAGTTGGATAGGTTTCGAACTCTGGTTCTGTACTCGGATAGCCATCGTAGCCCTACTGTACAAACACTTCAGCACTTCGATGTACCGACAGTCAACTTGGCACCGCTGAAGGGACTGTAGCACCGCCCAAATTTCGACGGAATCAAAGGCTTTCTCATAGTCCACATATGCCAGGCAAAGTGGCAGATTGTACTCTTCGGTCTTCTGTACAATCTGCCGCAGGGTATGTATGTGGTCTATGGTACTGAAGCCTTTTCGGAAACCGGCTTGTTCGGGAGGCTGGAAGTCGTCGAGTCTGCGTGCGAGACGATTCGTAATGACTCTCGAAAATAGCATGTAGACGCGGCTCAGAAGGGAAATCGGTCTGTAGTTCTTCAAGAGAGCGTTGTCGCCTTTCTTAAAGAACAAAACCACCGCGCTTCTGCTCCACGCCTCCGGAGTAGTGCCACCATGGAGGACGGAATTGAAGAGCTTCCGAAGGACTTCAAGTACCGGTTTTCCACCCGCTTTCAGAAGCTCCGCTGTAATTCCATCCTCGCCCGGGGCCTTGCCGTTTTTAAGGTGGTGGAGAGCCATTCTAATCTCGCTCAGACAGACGTCCGGGATATCATCGGAATAGTGTCGGATAAGACTTGCTCTGGGATCGTTACTCACACTTACGTGTGGCTCCAACGATGATGTGTACAGCTGCCCATAGAACCTCTCAATCTCACTCAAAATCTCAGGTGTCCCGGAAACGATGTTGCCACACTCAGTCTTCAGCTTTGACAGTTGGCTCTTTCTGGCAGACAGATCTCTGGCAAAGACTTTGGAGCCCTGGTTCCGCTCGATCGCTTCTTTAATACGAGAAGTATTAAAGTTGCGTAAGTCTCGCCGCATGCATTTGGAGATCTGTCTGTTCAGTTGCCTGTATGCTGTCAAATCTGTTGACGATTGCAGCCTCATCTCCCGTCTAACAGCCATGAGATTAAGAGTGTGATCGGAGAGTTTTTGTGTTCTTCTGCGGCGAGTCTTGCAGAACTTAGCTCCGACCGCATGGACAGTTTCCACGAGCTTGTCGTTCATATCGTCCACTGCATTGCAATCTTCTAGGCACTGGAAGCGGTTACGTAACTCGAGCTGAAAGGTTTCGGGATTCTGGATTAGAGCACGAGGGGGGACGGAGCGTTGACTTCATTAGACGAGACCTCTCCAACTTAACGTTTAGGTTCAGTGTGCCTCTAACCATTCGGTGATCGCTGCCAGTTTTCACCCTTGCGATCACTGAGACATCACTGAACAGTTGGCGTCTGGTCGTCATAATGAAGTCAATCTCATTTTTTGTCGAACCGTCGGGGCTCGACCAGGTCCACTTCCTGTGAGGCCGCTTCTGGAAGAAAGAGTTCATCATAAAGAGTCCCTCTTTCTCCATAAAGTCGGCCAGCTGCTGGCCCCTTCGGTTCCGTTGCCCTACTCCAAATTTCCCTACCTTCAGCTCACCGCTTTCTCTTGTGCCTAGTTTTGCGTTGAAGTCTCCCATCAACACCGTGTAGTGGGTTTTGGAGGAATGTATGGCTCTGGAAATATCCTCATACATTTCCTCCACCTCCTCATCGGGATGTGCCGAGGTTGGTGCGTAAACCTGAATGACCTTCAGCGAATACCGTTTGGTGATTCTGAGTATCAGGTACGCGACCCTCGTCGACACACTCCCAATCTTTACAACGTTGTTGACGAGAGACTTGTGGACGATAAATCCGACACCTCCTTGGAACAGATGGTCGCCCTCCCGGTGATAGAACAAGTTGCCGGACTCGAGGATTGCCGTGTCCTCCCCCTCTCTTCGGACCTCGGATAATCCAATAATATGCCAGCGCAACTTGTCTACCTCTTCTTCCAGCTCTAGTATCTTCTCGTCAGTCCTCAGGGTGCGTGCGTTATATGTTGCCAGGTCGAGTCGTCGTAGGTGGCAACCGAACCTCCACCGGAGATTCTTAGCACCCCCTGCCCCGCCGTTACCATGGTCGCCACCGTAGCCAGGAATAGCGGGGCCGCCGGGGACTGGGGGCCGTCTGTTTGTGTATTTATTCATTGGGGGGTATTTGCCATAGTTGCCACGCTTGGCGAGCGGGTTGGCAACCGCAGTTTTTTATTACGTCACAGTTGTTATCAGGAAGATGCTGCTGCCCATCTCCTGCCTGTCTCCCTCTGTCGCCTTTTACGACACCCACGGGAAGATATGGGGTAGTGGATATTCTCAACCGCCACTACACGGCACGGATTTCGGCTAGTGATGATGAATATGTTCCATCTTGATAAAATATCATGTAATATTATCTAATTAAAATTAAAAAACAGTTTTATAAATTTTAATTTGATGCTAATCCTTTTTCTGTCAATACGATTTTAATTTGTTCGTTATAGTAATCGAAGATCAATATCGTCAAGTATCGACTATAGCGGTACTTTACTAGTACTTGATTATTGACATCTGTCAAATGGGACTTCGTAATTGGAATAGAGTATAATCGTAACAATAAAATAAAAAGCCAAAACAATTCAATTCAACTACAACAAGCAACAAAACGACTATAAACCAATAGCACGCTACGGACTATAAACTATACATTTCTAGCGCGCTATTAAATACGCTATGTTATAGCCGCTATTTATAAGAAAGCGTGTACAAGGCCGGCAAACGCGTTGAGTTTTGCAGCACGCTATAATATCTCGTGCTACATAATATCATTATTTCGTAATAAGTCGCATTTTAGACTAAAATAAAAAAGCAGACTAGGTGCGACCCGAAAATTCGACACGACTAACTTTCCAGTGGAAATAATAAAAAAATATCATATATTTTAATATTTTATACAAGTTTTCATTCGGCACAAAAAACGACTTGACCGATTTTGCTTAAAATTTAATGAGTCCTAAGTTACATAATTATGCGATAAATGAAACTGGTCCCATGTCAATACCTCTCTTTGTTCCCGAGATACACGAGGCGAAAATTGAATCCGAACATACATACATATATACATACATACATACATGTACATACATGGACATCCTCTCAAAAACTATACTGTTTGACTCTAAAGACCTTGAAACGAGGAGATAATATGTTAAAATGTCCAATTTGCAAAATCGGACCCATTACAATAACTTCCACTGGGAAGTTAATAAAGTGGTAAAGAAAAACCAATGAACGCTCTTTCATACATTTCAGGCTTATGACTTTCTATAATCCTAAAAATATTTTAAAGGCATGTACTTCTTAAAACGACATAAAATTAATTATTGTTGTTATTATCGATGTAAACGTTATTTTAACCCAAATATAAATTATAAATCAATTAAAAGTGTATTCAAAAGTTTATTGGTTGTATATACAAAAATCAACTATTTACATACACACTTCTGTATCCAGCGTCACAAGTCTACTCCCAACAGCGCTACTGCTAGAACATGCTAGAATTAGTTGCCTCTAGATATTAATACCTGATAGCGCCATGGCGACTACTTACATAGCACGCGCTATGCGCTTTGGAGAGATAGCGCGCTAAAATATGGCGCTATGCGCTATATTAACCACCGTTAGAAGCTACCACAGAGTAGGTACTATGAAGTGTAGACGTAAGGAGTACAGACTGTGTATTAGAAGTGTCCGTAGAAAAACACTAAATAAGGGTGGCGCCCTCCTTTCTGCCAAAGAGGGTCGCGTCCGTATACGGCTTAGAGATCTCTAGTTAGACCGTTAAGCCAGTCCCTAAAAGGTGGGGTTTAGTGGGTAAAAGTCTCCACATAACCACGCAGCCGGCTGCGTGGTATGCTACGAGTATTCCTCACCTCCCTCCCCCCGCTTTCCGGAGGGTTGCCCATATTTGCTTCGGGCGCAGAAAAAAAGGGTGGCGCCACTATCGTTTCGGGTGAAATTTTAAAAAACGTGGCGTATAATATTAGTGGGATAGACGACTTTTTCGAGGTTATATTTACTAAATAAAATTATTTTAGATTTTAGAGCTACTGAGCAGTTTAGCAGCACACTTCAAACCGTCGACAACTGCTAAGTTCATTTCATCCCTGTAGCTACTCCAGTGCTGTAGTGCAGAGTTTTTAAACTGTTATTTATTGCTTACAGATGGACACTTTTTCAACTATTCTCCTATGAGAGATTATCTCCTTACTTCTACACTCCATACTAGGTACTTCCTAATACAAGCGACATAGAGGAAAGTAATATATCGGGCAACAAGTAATAATCAACAAACCACAGAGTACTTTTTGATTTTGATTGAAGTTTGTTGTTTTAGGATTAGGTATACAAAAAGTACTCTGTGACCCGCAGGTTGCAACATTTTTTTTATATATTACATTACTTTATATACAGGTTAGAGCACAGGGTTAGAGTTTGAAACAGATATTGTCAAAAGTCGCGGAAAATTCGCAATAAATGTATTCTTTTATCAAAACAGTTTTAAAATGTCTTCAGCTCTTGTAAGACAAGCACTCGCATTCATTGAGGGAGAAGGTATGTTTGTGAAATTTTATATTAATAGGTATATCACAAAATGAATACCTATTGTTTTAGAGCTGATTGTATTTAAAGCTAAATGTTATGTTTTAGAAAGTGGACGGAAGAAACGTCAAAGCAAATCATCTCAACTTCAGGGGCCGAAAGTTCAAAGTAAGTTCAGTCAATTGCAAGGTTAAGCAAATTATCATAGTATAGTTTGTCAAGAAAACTTTTACCTTGCTAACCATTACTTCTCCTTTGTAAGTCTGTAATACTTATTCATGTAAAGTAAATAAAGTAATTGCATCTTTTGTCCGTATAATAAACAATATTTACTTAACTGAAAAATAACTAAAATTGTATGAATCTTTTCATTCTAGATTATAATCATCCATACAAACGTAAAAGCAAGAAAACGGTTAAAGTAATACACAAATCTGAAGAAGAAACAGCAGAAGAAAATATCAGAAAATTATTAGCGCTTTCTGAATCTACTGCTAACAGTAGTTTTGCAGAAAAAGTAAGTATTGAGAAATATATCACAGTTTATATATAATTGTGTAAGGTCTCAGAGGAACACATTATTCTTATGAGGAAATGGGCCATTTGATGATTGATTGATGAATGATTTATTGTGTGCTACTGAGGTTCATTCCCAATGGCACAGATAAAAACCATTACAGCCTATCAAAATCAATGGCGAAGCTTCTATAGAACCCCAGAAACCCGGCTTGGCTTATCAAGCTGAATCAATCAATAATATCAAGTAATAAAATAACTCGGTAAACTATTTCAAATTTCCAGCGCGCTCTGTTCGACCTCGTAGCCTTAGGAATACTGCTGTCATACATATAAGGAGAGTTGAATTGAGCGATTTGTTGTCTCCCTCGCACGCGTGAGCTTTTTACCGGGCTTTCGAGAAGACGATCGCTCCCTTTCTAACCTGTGGCAAAATGTTCTCTAATGAAATATAACCATGAAATGTTTATATAGCAATTACTATTGAGCCAAAAGCCTGGCTTTGCCCTGAAGTTTAGGAGTGCGTTAGCGACTAGCAAATGGGGTGCGGGCCATTCGTATGCAAGTTCACTTCACATTTCAATGTTTATGTTTGTTTTTGTTGTGTTTGTTAAAAATTTATGCAACATTTCTTCATACTTTAAATATAGGTACAGGACTCTTTAGTATTAAAGTTTAATTAAGTTAGGCGTATTTAAAGGTAACTCAAAAAAATATCATTTTGAACGGCAGTATAAAATATGAGATACCTAGGTTAAATTTTATAGGAAATAAGTGTTACAATCTTTTTTTAACATGAAGCCCAAATTTTAATGTAATAATCCCAGAGTGTCGATCGTCGAAGTCTGCAGTCTGTGAACACGTACAGGATCGCCCTCGTCACTACATCAGATTTGATAGACCACAAATCCTCGCTAAAGAACACCGATTCCTTGCAAGGATGATTCACGAGGCTATTGAAATCAAAAAACATCCTAATTTCAATAGAGAAGATGGTTGGGTGCTACCATCTGCTTTGGATCCTATAATAAATAAAATTAAATCCCAACCCAAGCATACAACTGCAAGACTTCAAGATACCATAAGTTCATACTGTGTAGATCGGAACAAAAGTTAGATTTTAATCTATGGTAACCGTGGTTAACTATGACATCTGGACATTGAACATCGCAGCCCCGCCCGTGACCATGAGTGCTGTAAAGTGTTCAAAATGTCGGGTATTTAAAAAGTTAAATATACACGATAATTCCGTAAAAACTAGTATTATTTCAATGTGTAGTGTTCGCATCAGAAACTCATCGTCGTCAAGAAATCATGTCTCCCCAGAGATTGCTTCATAGGGGGGGATGTTTGCCATAGTTGTCTGGTACCAACGAAATTTATAATTATTATTATTTGCCACATGTTGTGTGGTGGTGGAAACCTGCATGTTTCAGTAATTATAACTATCTCGAGGAGATGTGAAGTTTGCTAAAACACAATGAGGTAGTGTGGGACATCTTGTCCTGCTCTAAGAACACCTTCAAAAATAAGAAGGGTCCTGTATCCAGCTGTAAGACATAAATAAGTTGTAACTTTATTTATTTTAACAAGCTTCCTCTGTATTTAAATTTGTATTATTTGTCCGTTCCTTTATGACCACCTGTAGACAAAATGGCTTGACGAATTTTGAAGTATGAAGTGTTAAAAGACTTGCTTCATGCCCAGTGCCACGTCAATACAAGACTTGATTTTTTTTTAAATATTTGAATAATTTTAAATTTATAAAATATTAGGAACAAACTGATTTCAATCCTTTAAAATCTAAAACTGGTTGTAATAACAACACTCAAAATATTATTTGTAGATGTTCATACACCAAAAGATAATTTTCTGTGAGGCTATGTATTACTTTTGTACAATATCAGTAACATAATTCTTTTACAACTTCTTAACATAAAACCATATTTCTTACTTCTTACCAAATAATTGTTTTACTGTTCTGTTACATGATAAGATAAGAACATGTCTTGCGTCATTTATTTTGACAGTTACAGTAAGTATTGTTTTGGTGTTAGCACGTTTTTAGCATTTTTATTAGCCCTCATTTTTGTGCAAAACTAAGGGTAAGCAATATGGATAAGGATTATTGGATTCCCTTTGACAATTTAAACAATCTTAATGGTGTCAGTGTTTAATGTAAACTGTTAACCTTTTAGACTTTTTAACTTTAAGTTTTCAATTTGTACCTATAAAAATAATATTTTACCTCATAATAGATAATTTTTATGACCATATTATAGAGTAATCAAACATCAACACTAACATCAATTTATTGATAATGCTTTATGTTTGAGTGTGTTCTTGTTATGTAATATGCATTGCAAAAGTATCACATATAGTTTATAGTGATATTCTAATCAATAAGGTTTGTAGGTTAGGTTAGAACTATTTATTTTATTTGGCTGATCAACAATGAGTACACTAAAATAAGTAAATGCCTCACTATTTACAGGTTAGTACAGCATGTGCCAATATAAAGTTACTTATACTATATTATAAAACAAAAGAAAATCAACAATTTAACAACAATACAGCAAAAAGATTTCATTCATAATATTGAGCAGTCTTTTTAATTTTAGATACAGAGGTTGTGTTAATATGTAGCACAGTAGAATATGCCTCATATACCTTGTAAAGACAAGATATTAAGTAATGTGACTTAGTGTTTGTGCAGCAGTGACTGGTATGAAATAGGGTGAGCTAAGTGCCAAGTTGAGGAAATCTTTTTGATTAAGCGACAGTAGCCTAATGGCAGGGCGCGGACCGCGGACTCAAAAAGGTCGTGGGTTCGAATCCGCCATTCGACTACTGGCGTGAACCACTCGTAACACAAGCAATTTAAGCTTACCACGAGTGGTTAAGGGGAATATTAGTAGTCTATAGCATTGTTAATATTTTTTTTAATACAATAAAATAAAGAAATGTTTAGTATTTGCCACCACCAAAACAAAATAAACCTACAAGAATCCCAGCATAATTTCTGGAATTTTATTGCAATAATTTGCCTTGTAAAAGAATCAGACTTTGTGTAGGGTAACTAATATTACCTGCTTTTGTGTTTGTTCATAGTTTTTACAGATTACTTTTTTAATAAAACTATTTATTTATTTATTTATTTCACAATTTATGTACACACAAGTTAGGGAGAGGACACATCATGATAAAAAGTTTGTACAAAGGCTCTAATTATCTCACAATGAAATTTCTTCCAGTAGGCCAGTTTCAAACACATATCATTACTAAATGATTATAAGGTGTGCACTTTGTTATTATACAACACATATGGGTATAAATTAAATATATACGAAATACTTAATATAATATAAAGTCATAATTAAATATATAAACATTTATACACATACACATACATACATATATGTACATGCATATATTTGTAACAGTATAGTAAATATCAGAGATTGGAGACTTACACAGAAGATAGCGATAAATAATGTTCTTTCACTCGTTTTTTGAACAATGTCACTGTTTTGATTTCTCGAATGTGAGTAGGAAGCGAATTCCAGAGTCTTACTGCTTGTACGGAGAATGAACGGGAATATGAATGAGTACTAAAGGATGGGAATTTTAAGAGAGTTTTAAGGTGAGATCTACAAACTGTATCTGGGGATTTAAGAAAGGTAAATCGATTTCGTAGGTATGTAGGGAAATTTGGGCTATGTAGGATGTTAAAAAGGAGACAAAGGATACGAGTGTTACTGCGAAATCGGATCGGGAGACACTTGAGTTGCTTTCTATATTTAGAGACGTGGTCAAACTTTTTGAATCCGAAAATATACCGAATGCAAAAGTTTTGTAATCGCTCAAGTTTGTTTAATTGCTCCTCTGTGGCATCCAAAAAACAGACATCAGCGTAATCTAAGATAGGCAAAATAAGGGTTTGAACAAGAGAGATTTTCGTTGATAAGGGTAAAAAACTTTGAAGACGTTTTAATGATTTTAAAATATTTTTTTAAATTGAATTGAATTTTAGTTTTAATAATATATTTAAATTACACATTAAATATTTTGTATATTATTTAATTATTATAACATATTATAACAATAATGTAACATTAATATATTTAATATTTTTGTGTTAGCTTAAAAGCTTGTCTAATTATTACAGATTGTAGAGAGGGCAGTGAAACGAAAACCATTAGCAGAGAAAATTGAAATCAAAACTGAGGAGGGCAAATCCATTTTGTTTCCAGAAGAGTCTTTCAAAAGTTTTGAGAAGGAATATTTTTGCAGCTAATTGTTTATTCAGATTTTGTGGATATGTATATATGGACATATCTGATGCGGTTTTGGGAAAATTGATCCTGGTGACGACAGTGACCATTTTTGTAATACTGGTGTTTTGGATTAACACATATCCATTTATTGACACAGGTAATCCATTCATTATAGTTGCTTAAAATTCGTTTGTTGTCAATAATTTCTAATGAAAATGGAACTTTAGATATACAGATCATATTAAAAATCTGGTTTGACTAGACCAGAAATCTTGACTAAACTAGGTCTAGACCAGAATCTTGAACTGAACTTGCAGTTTATGGAGCCTGGGTTTGGCCAAAATTAGTTATTGAGTTTTCTGTAAAGAAATTCTCAATAGCAGCCTGGATTTAGGAAGTTGGCGGTGTTTTAACCCCGCGCCTCGGAAAGTACGTACAGTCTAGGTCCTGCGCCTTATATCTCTTAGGTCGTGTCGGATGCCGTCCTATCGGACTATGAGAGTGTGGCAATAGAGTGCACCTGTGCTTGCGTATAAACTTGGGCATTACAATCCTGTTTTGCACAGATGGCTAGTCTAAATTGAGACTGGCCGCCGTAACTGAAGTTAGGTCTAAATGATGTTATTATTGTAATTAAAATTTAACTTATTATTGCATTATAATATAATTATGACTAACAAACAAAATTTTCTAAACCTGCAATTTATTTTATAACACTTAATAACTTTATAGCTTATATTTGCAATTGGTACAGCCAGTCTTTTTTTGCAATACCATTGTTTATTTAGTTGGGCAATGCAACACAAGTTCACAACTACACAACCAAGTTCGGAATAAATAAAAATATCATGCTATCTACCATGGAGGTTAGAGAGAAGGAGAATGGTCGCTACATGCTAAAGCATAGCCTGCCTGTCCCTGAAAATTTGTAGAATTTTTTCAGGCCACCAGCCGCGCTGCCGTTGGTAAGTAGTAGTCTGCGAAGTTAGCTGTTTATGAGTTTAAGTAGATGAAGTTAGTACAAATTTTCTTCGCGGCATTGGTAAGAAAATATTCGTGCTCCGTAATTTTTAATTTTTTGACAAAAAGGAACATTTAAAAAATGATGAAATATTGTATTGTGTGGATGTGCAAGGGGCTTAGAATTTAGATACAACTTAGCGATTGCAGCGCCTCAATTATTTTGTCCATATTTCTGGGACACTATTTTCTATAGCAATCGTTCTCCTGTTCTCTAATGCTATCTACATTATTTGACGACTCAAGTTACTTGTCAGAAATGACATTTGACAAATACCCGCGAATTTTAAAACTGGAAGGGCGCCATCTTGTAAAATCTTGATCATCAAAAACTCGGGATCCCATTTTTACTTTTAGCAAGTTATTTAGTTTTATTTATTCTCTTATTTTTATTAAAAACCCAGAATTTTTTGCTTTTTTATAATATAGTGTGCAGAGACTGGGCCTGAAACAGACCTTAATATTATTTTTTCAGATTTAGCGATATATAAATACATTCCGGATCCACAGTGGGTTCTACTATTCTGTGCTACTTGGGGATTTTTTTTCATCGGTGGGCTAATGTTGTTCACTCTCTACCACATCTATCCCCATCTGTAATAAGCAATTCGCAAAGGACTGCACATAAAGCTGCCAATACAATGATAGGAGATCAGTCCGACAATTGGATTATTATAGGGGTGTCGGGAGTAACCTGCGGAGGAAAAACAACTTTAGCGAACCAATTGAAGAACATGTTGGCTCCTGTATATGTGTTCCATCAAGATAAATATTTTTATCCGGATGACAGTCCCCATCATGTGAAATGTGGGGGGTTAGATCATAACAACTATGATATCCTCTCAGCACTGGATATGGAAAGCATGTACAATGATATAGTAACTACTATTGATGGAGAAGATAGATCACATGGATCATTCAGAGGAAGGAGAGAAGGAAGGATGGAGATTGAAGAGAAGAGCTTTATAATTGTCGAAGGGTTTACAGTGTTAAATTATGCGCCCATTAACGAAATTTGTGATTTAAGGTGGGTAAATCAGTTTGTATCAAATTTTCTTAAGTATAATTAACACAATATACAGAAATATATTAAACTAAGTACGATATTGTGATGTCTGATCATTACTTATCTTCTTCCAGTGGTAAAATTTCTTAAATATTTCTACCTATGTATGGGTTGATATGCTTTCTAGTTACGTTTGTATGCCTAAAATGTGTGTATTATGTATTATTTAATAATGTGTATACTAATTATCAGGTATATGTATATAACATATACTATTTTAGTAATATACTTGGTGACTTTTTACCGTCCGGAAAATAATATTGTGTTTTGTGTAAATGAATAGAAGCTATCCTCGAAAGTATTTGTAAAATATAACAAAATGTAACTGATAGGCAAAATTTCAGAATATCTAAAAAATTAAATAAAAACAATTCATCCTACGGCATTTGCGTAAAACTAAATACACGCTACAATCGCTACTGAATTAAAGTTGTAAGCGCGAGCGAGACGCATTTGTTTGGGATATTTCTTTCGTTAGGCGAAAGCCTACCGATGCCTATGATGGATATCGTCGTTATGTAGGCACCGGGTGGCCAAGTCAGCCGACACATCTTTGCAGCCAACAGTTAGAATCAGGCGTATTCAAAGACATAGCTACAATACTTGTCTTAATGACAAAATTTCGAGCTAAAAGTGCTTAAACACTAAAACAAACTTGATGTGCATGTTCTGGAAACTTCACCGTCGCACCGCCTAAGTTTTCACCAGACAAGCCTTAAAATCTCGCCTTTGTTAGGTACTCGACATTAGAGTATTGGTACATGTTTACGATAATATCAGCAGACTGCCGATACACACTTTGAAACACACAATACGACGTCAGGTCGTAGCTAATCACAGGTCACTGAAATGAGAGTGCGGGTGGCTTTGCCCTAGCGACTGCAATCTTGTGAAAGGACAAGGACGAAGAGGCCTACGACAGGTGCTGCAATGAGTATAATATGGTTACTGCGGATACCAATGAAATTTAAATAAAAAAAAAAAAAAAACACCCCCCCCCCTTTCACCCCTTTTTTTTCCCCCAAAAAAAAAACACAATTTTAAATTTTTTTTTTTTTATTATTATTTAAAATATAAAAAAAAAAAAAAAAAAAAAATTTTTTGTGGAGAAACCAATTGTACGCTTAATCTATTATATAAAATTTGTTAGTTTGTTCGTATTTTATATGCAGACATACCATTCAGTAGATTGCGGTAAAATTTTGTCAACTTATTGCTTGCACTTGCGCGAAGATTATAGGCATAGTATAATTATCGTATCGTGCAGATTTATTTGAATGTATTATCATTCCTAATCAAACAATACAACTGTTCCTAATTTAAATTCCACAATTATTTCTTCTAGGGTACCTAGCAATGCGCCGGGTACCAGCTATAGTGTGAAATATTTTTTTTAAATAAATAATAGCAGAAGTTAGACATTGCATTAAAACTTGAACATAAAAAGTTTAATAATGACAAGTTTTTAAAATGTTGCTAACATTTCATTTTCCTATATTACCCGTTCTATAATGTAATAAGTGAATTTATAAAATCCCATCAAACCTCCGACAACCAAACCCAAACCCAAAGCATCACACATCAACCAAATACCAAATTTTACATGAAAAAAAACTATTTTTCATGAATTATCATATTTAATTTCTAAATTAATAAACCAAATTGAGAATCAAACATTTAAGTAATTTGTGCATTTGCTTAAACAAAAAAACATTTCTTAATATTTACTTTTGTTTTTTTATTTTATTTTACTTTAATGCGTATCAAATTTTATACGTTTTTATTACATCAAAGAATTTGGATGAGGCTTATGAAGGAATTCAAACTGTTCCTTTTGATGATCACTTGGAAACAGTATTGATTATGACAAAGGCCTAATATAATGTCATCATTAAATTTCCAGATATTACTTTGTGTTGGAATATGAAGAATGCATGTTTAGGCGATCACACAGGCTGTATGATCCTCCAGATATCGAAGGCTACTTTGAGCAGTGTGTTTGGCCTGAACACCTAAAATATAAAGCTGAGGTAATTGATTGTACGAATTTATTATAATGACAATTTTTTGAAAGCATGCTGTGTTTTAGCAATATTCTCAATTACTTTTTGATTCCATACATTAGATAATATTCTTTTAGAAAAAATGTTTAAATATTCTATACTGAAATGGAGAACCATAAACCTTTAAACCAAGTAATAAGGCCAACACTTCTCTCACTGAATATCAGTGTGAAATAGCAACTTAATACTGATGTGTTTCATATGGTGAGAGTAGGTATCTGGAGACCCTTCTTAGTGGAAACGAGGCATTCCATCTTAGTCCTCACGGGTGACAATGTATCTACATTTTGATTTTTAATGGAGGATGTATGTGTTTATTGGTCTGAGCCTTCACTTACCGTCAGGTGGACTGTGAGCTTATTTGTCATCCAAATTCTATAACAAAACAGAAATGAGCCTTTTTAATGCTCATTATTTCTTCTTCGTATTTGAATTGTATAATATTAACTGGACTGATTATGATGAAAATTTTTATGTGTTTGGGTGGAACCCTGTATGATTTAGTTTCACATTGCTCACACCGACTGATCCCAACAATCAACCATGCGAAGTCAAGGACTAGTTAAACAATAAAAGTGTGCGTCTGTTTACAGATCGAGCGAGATGCGCGAATTACAATACTCGATGGAACGCAACATGACGCTCTGAGCATTGTTGTACGGGACTTGGAACATTTGGGTGCCACTTATATATAGCTATATATATATATTTAAGTGACACAATGGAATGGATATAATATTAAAGGAGCTGAGGTGCTGACATTTTACTTATTTGAGTACTGTTATATAAATTACAGAGCAGTTCTTATGAACAAAAATTGATAAAGGTAACAAGGTGTACCTACATAAATGAAAATAAAATTTCTTAGGCA